AGTTTTTGTCTTTTAATCTTTTCACTGTGTACAAGACCCAGATAAGACCCGGCTTAAAATACTATTCGCATTTACAGGAGTTGCTGCTCCCAGCATGCTGCAATTCAGGCGGGCTACACGACTGGTCGGTGTAACAGTGCAAGTATCTTGATCCGTCTCTTCATTGGTATTGAGCATTTTTATGAGAATGGTGTAGCACATAGTAGTTTACACAAAGGGCTGGAAAAACGTGCTAGACATGAGAGTATTTTAAAATTTAATGTTGGCTATAAACGAAGCAATAGAAAATGTTCCCCATATAAGCCATTCAGGTATCCTTAATATCCAGAGGCAAAGCGAAAATTTATCTGCAAATTCGGGACTGTTTCCGATTTAGCGGGCAGTATGACAGTCTGGAATTAGAAACAATCAAAATATTACATGTCGGTTATTCATTATAAAGATACACACATTCTGTCTATTATACTAGACGTTTTATTTGAAGAATTCTAAGAACGAAACGTCGACAATAATCTGGCAACTGCTCTCTTCCTATTAGCATTTTTGCAAGTTCTAATAGCTATCAGCTATGTTTTATCACTATCATCGTGCGCCCAACATGTACACCGTACAGCGACAAAATGCCACAAATCCAACGATATGATGATGGAAAAACGCACATAAAAGCATTCGAATATTTATGTAGATCCCAAAACGCAAACAATTTATGGTATTCATCATTCCGGCTCTCGGAAATGAGTTTAAAATTTGCGTCTGGCTGATAGCGAGAATGTTTCGGAAAAAGCTCGCTGAGCGTTCACATATAAATAATGTTTTGCAAAATTAGACCATCTATATTTCAGTGACAGGACAATCTGGGATAGCTGCTACGCTGATACATCTGGATGCAATTAGAATTTCATATGTATTGGAGGTATGTTTTCGCATGCGAGCACCTCTTAATGATGAAGCTTACGAATATAAGTAGATATCAAAGTGTAATTAAACAAGAAATAAAATTCAGTTACATGATGACCATCTGGTCTTCTCTGCTAAACATTACATACATCGTTGGGAGAGCTGACTGTCACATAGTATAGGTTTGTTCCGACCCACGAAGAACTGTTCTGGAACGGTCACGGCAGATTTGAGAAAAAGTATACCAACAATGTTCGTTATCGTAAGAGGATGATGATGTGTTTGTTTACAAATAGTTTAAAGATCTTTCTAAAACGACGTTGCTTCAGCGGATTTGGTGCATGCATATAAAAGCGAATCAAATGTTAAATTCAACGATTGTGATACACTACCAGACCTCAAGGGTTGAAACCGAACTTGTGTTTTAGAGATGCAGGGGAGCGAGGCGTCGAGTTCCAGGTTCCATTACCCATCAGACGAGATGCCGCGATAATCCTATTTTGAAGTATTTTGTCGTAGCATCTACATTAGACTCCCGGTTTTCCGACTGGCGATTTTCCAATCGCCGGAATAACCGAATGATACCTACAAACATACCTACTGCAAAAAGCTAATAAGCACTAAATCTGCACTAATCGAGAAAGCCGCCGTATTATTCGAGTTTCACGTGTAATTAGCATGTTCTTTACGCGGAATCATCGAACAGTCGCATCATCAGAAGTCGACGATCGAGGATTTAGTTCGTTGTGTCAATATCTGCTGAACGGATCAAACGGGCGTGTGTACATTTTTACGACATTTCAATAATAAAATAAGTCGTACATAAATGATGGAAGAAAGTGAAAGAAAAAAGTTGTTGTAACAGTCGACGAGAAGTTAAGAGCCATTAAAAGTCTAAAAAATGCTGGTAAATCGGTAGCAGCAATAGCAAGCGAATATGGGGTAGGCAAGGTAACAGTAAGTGACTGGGGAGAAATAGGAAGAATATTGAACAGTGGTGCAGCAAGCAGGTTTCGACTTCTTTTAAAAGAGCATCCATGACAGTGATTTTTGGCGTACTCGTTGGAAGAAGAGATATGGTGTGCGCCAGTTAGCTCTATTGGGGAAAAGCTTTCAGCAGATACAAATGCCACCGAAAACGTTAAGCAAACATTGAAAATTCTGATAGAAGGTCTATATTTGTGATGAAACTGGTCTTAACTTTAAGTTGCTTCCATTAAAGTAACTAGCATCAAAACAGGAAATGGCTGCTTCAGATCAAAAAAGGAGTAAAGATCGGATTACTGTAATGGCCTCTGAGAATGCGTCAGGTACGCATAGAATACCACTGATGATCATTGGACGATTAGCCCATCCAAAAGCCTTAAAAAATATTTCTCCAAATACACTTCCAGCTTATTTTACACGCATCAAAAAAGTGCTTGGATGGATACGAAGCTGTTTACTGTTTGGCTTAAAAAGCAGTTTGTTCCTCTAGTGAACAAATTTTTGTAGAATTACAAACTCTCGATAAAGGCTCTAAAGACAATTGTTTCTTGAACATGTGATTACCTCAAAAGATGTTGTCTGTTGGATGAGTCAAGCATGGGAATCGGTACGAGCATCCACAATCCTGGAAAAATCTTTGGATCCCAGACGATGATCCGGAAGACGAGTTGCTTCTAAGTACGCTGGCTCTAAAATTAAAAGACGCCGAAGATGAAAGCAGCTGTGAAGATGAATTGAGCTTGCTTGATTTAATGAAAAAATTAAAAGGATGCGAAGACGGTAAAGAAGAAGATGTTGGAGAATGGATTGCTTCTGACGACCAAGGGCAAGAGCTTTCTATAGAGGAAATAGCTGCCTCTGAACAGATCGAAGAAGTATACCAGCTTGAAAAAGAAAAGGGAAATAGAGAAGTTATTTATAGTCGATCGCATTTCAAATCAAGAACGTTTTACTGCTTTAGACAAAACCTTACAGGATGTAGAACAGCAACCCGAGTCCACCACTTTTAAGAAGACTAAGGAATATGCCACGCCTTTTTTTGGTTAATTAATAAAACACAATGATAAATACTATCTAACGGTTAGTCCAAGCAAAATAGTTGTCTAGTGGCGTGCAAATTTAGGCCCTAGCTCAATAAAGCGGAGAGTAGGGGCAGGTTAAGAGCGCCAGTGACTTAGGACGGATTAAGCGACAACTCCCCGAGATGTTAGTCGGAACTTGTTTTGCTTGACCACCACACAAAAGGAGAATCTACAGAGATGGCGAAATTTAAGTAACATTTCACACAGAAACAGCCAAATAAACACGATATCAAATGGATCACAATATATTGATTAAATAAAAAACGCACATGTGCTCCACCACTGGAGTGCGAGTAATGAAAAAGAGAAAGTATGTTACAAATCTTAAATACGACTTGACAAAATTATTTTTCGCGAAACGTCCATGGTATACGCCTGAAGTATTTACAGATATTTTGCGCCTAAATACTAAACCTGTAGGTATTCTTTGTCAGGCGCGGCCGAAACCCTAGAGAGAGAAAGACTGTTTAAAAATCTACTCTACTCTCGGACTGAGATAAAACTACTCATTGAAAACAATCGCACTTGAAGCAAAACCATGTACATTTTTTTCGTATAAGAAAAGTAAAGCAAAGGCAAAAAAAAGATATAAATGTTCTAAACTAATATACCCTTGTTCTAAAAAGTTATGGCAGCTCAAAAATCAAAATCATGATCAATATAATAGAAGGTGCCATGTAGGCAATGCATACATAGAATGCATACATAGAATGTCTAATAAAATCAAAAAGTCTCTATGAATTTCAATAAGCAATAACAAATGTATGAAGATCTATGAAATTGTGAATTAGAATGATACGTTACCTGTTCACATCAGGTTTTTTTTTCAAGGGGATGGCTTCCAATTTGCAAAACAGCTACGATGCAACTGACTGGAGGAAAAAAGATGATGATTTTCTTCTGTTTCTATTGACAAAAAGGTATATAAAAAAAGAACTTACCGCTGAGGGTCAAAATGCCATAAAAAAATGGAAGACGTAGCACCCAAACCAAAACAACTAAACTTAAGTTACACAACAAAAAGAAAAGGGTGCTAGTCCATGAATGGGCGCTTGGGGCCTAAAGTCCCAGAGTCCGGAAAACGACAAAACGACCCCTGCACCACGACCTCACTGGAAACAGAAAAGCGAATCACGCATATATTTTATAGGAAATCAGCTAACGGAGAAAAACTACAGAGTTTTTTTGCTGATCGTCAACACCATACTGAATCGCTGAGAAAGAAAGATATAACACGAGTGAAATTACACAATCAATAAACTGTTAAATTTGCAAAAAGAAAATCATTGAAAAGGGGTTTGGACTAGGAATGGGCACTCTATTATCAATGAAGAGAAATTCAAATTAAGGATAAGCGATAAATAGTAAAAAAAAAGGTTACGTGATTTTGGCACGTGACAAATAACGCAACAAAAAGGATAAAGTCCCAGAAGAAACAAAATATTATTGACAGTTACTTTAAGGCATATTATATTTCTACTTTTGTAGATGTATATGCTACAAACATTTTTAAGTTCTTTTTGTGGAGTCTTCTAAAAACTATATATAATATATATATGATTAATTATCCGAGAGGGTGTCCAGCCATGTTGCCTCGGGAGCCAACTGTATTGACAGGTATTTTCTTTATTTTTGAGTACAGCCTGTTCATATTTTAATATGATTTTTAATATTTAAATCTTATGACTCAGTTGTCTTGGAATTTTATTAGTGCACGTCTACATCATAGTTTTCAGTAGTTTGCATATAGACATCACCCCTATCGTTACAAAACATTATATACTATACAAAGGCTATCGTATTTTTCTTTATGTTGAACCGTGAAAATCTAAGTTCGTGTTACTGTTCACTCCTTATAAGATTTGTGTAAACACCTATTCTGGTCTTCTGTTTTAATAGTCATTACCAATGCCTTAATGCTAATTCAACAGTTCCACAAACAGGAAGAAATGCTTGAAACTGTCTGCATATTTCGCTCCAAAAAGCGCAATGCGATGAAAAGAATAGCAACGACAGAATATAGGCGTATGTAGTATGACTCAACATGTTTTCCTTGTTTCAGTTCCTCCAGAGAAGATACACATCTACGATGATAATCGATTAGACAAATCTGTACTTCTTGGACCTTATAACGAGGGCGCTACTGTCAACCTACTTTGTGTGGTTAGAGGAGGTAAGTTCCAAAAGTCGAAAATAAGGAAGAAAAATGGATCATATTCGTTTGTTTCCAAATAACCTAAGCAGACATTGTCAAGGGCCAATTTCACATCCCATTAAGATATGTTTCGCACCATTCATTAAATGCAAGCATCTATAATCAATATAGTAGCATGTCTTATAAAATTGAATATTTTTTGATGTGATCACAAAGGGTACAACTAGGAAACTGCAATGCCTGAATGGTTAATGTTAGAGTTCGTCTGATGCGAACAGTTGCTGATATGAAACGTTAAGCAGCTGTCATTTTCTGAATGCACCCACTACAGTTCTAAAATGAGAAATCGTAGAGGTGTCTCAGCCGTTTAAACACATGTATATCTTTTTCCAGGTCGCCCAAAGCCAAAAGTGATATGGTACCTAGAAAACACAGTCATAGATGATTCGTACGAGGTACGACCAGATGGATTCGTGCACAATCATCTAACATTTCCCAACGTGGGCAGACAGCATTTGCACGCCCGTTTGATCTGCCAAGCCAGCAACACCAACATCGTACCCCCTATGACTAAAGCAGCTGTTTTAGATGTCAATCGTAAGTGTATATCGAGTGTGCAAAAAATTAGCCTTCTTAATATGGTTGCAAGCAGTTGTGTAGAAGAGGTCGTTGTCCAGCGATTTGCCCATATACTCGTATTAAACAATCTACCCGACATTACCCATAAATGAATAACAATATACACTAGTCTATTGTGTCTACAGAAGGCTACATAAGCATCTGCTTGAAGTAAAAGTTGACATTAATCATTATCATGTAGCCACGGGGAACAAGGGGTGTGACCGAGGACGTGACCTGCACTGAGGAGCACTTGGTCCGCGAGAAATAAGGATCTGTACTTCAAAACAAAAACAATTTGTTTTCATAAAGCTAATTTAGAGCTGTCAAATATGCAGGAATAACTTAAAGTATATATATACCTTTCTCACCTTTCTCCGCATGATCATTTTTTCTCTCTCTATATATAATATACGTATATGTATATACACGGTGGCCCATCCATGTGTGGACGGAATATTACTCATAAACAAGTACATTTCGGGAAAATCTATTAATGGGATGTCATATATGACATTTGAGGGCACATTTCTAAAATATTGGCCATTATACAGGGTGACCCAATTTCGACCTACATATCAAAGTTGTGATTTTTCAAATGGAATGCCTCAAATTTTATTGCATATTTGGATAAACCAGTTCAAAAAAAGAAAATTGATATAACCATACTATGGGGTTTTGAAATTTGGAATGCTGAATTTTATATCAAAAAAAACTTACACACCTCAGCTTTTATCTTATTTGTTGCTTTTTCGAATTTTAATTTTTGCTCATACAGGGTGGTCAAAAACGCAAATTGTAGTTTTTCTCAAAAATTTCTAATCCATCACCCGGTATATTTGTGCAAGTTTGGATTAAATTTTTTATAAACTTTTTTTATACTAGACACATAAGGGCTTTTACGGCTATTTTTAGGTTATTAGCACGTGTTTTATGGAACGGCTTAATTCCCTAAAATATCGCATCATCCTTGGAAACAAATAAATTGTTGATTAGTTACAAACTATCAAAATGAGCTTTGTTGAGCATTATATTAAAAACGTGTTTGAAAATGAATTTGTCTAAAGAAGAAATGGTGAATATGGTGTTCATTTTGGGCGAAGCCCAAAGAAATAGTTTCAGGTACAGAATACTTGAATTTTTTGATCGAGCATTTGCCTTTGCTTTTGGAGGATGTCAACCTGCAAACTCGGAGGCATATATACTTAGAACATGAAGGCGCTCCTGCGCATTATCAAAATCGTGTGCGAAACTATTTGGACACCTGAAGTAACAATCGTTGGATCGCTCGTGATGGGCCTATATCTTGTTGCTCTATTAAAAGCTTAATAAGTCAAAATCTAGTGATTTTATCTTAATCAAAGCTTAAACCAAAAAAAAAGCTTATCAAAAATTGAATCCAAACTTGAACAAATATACAGGGTGATGCATTTGAAATTTTTGAGAAAAAGTACAATTCGGGTTTTTGACCACCCAGTATGAAAACAAAAATTCGAAAAAGTAACAAATAAGATAATAGCTGAGGTGTGTAAGTGGCAAACTGTATTTATCGTTGTGCCTGTTTAGTTATTTATGGCTAAGTAAAAGAAATAATTTAATTTGCTGTCAGTTACATTTGTGACAATCTTGGGCTAGTGAAAATTAATTTAATGATTTAGATTTTACTTCCAAAATGATTTACACACTAGCCGAAAGAGTGGAAATGATTCTGATTTATGGGGCCCAAAATCAATGTGCTCGGCAAACTAGCGTGATATTTAACGCCAGAATCCGGGGAAGATAACTAGGTATGTTTTGGACCTTGTTACTAAATTTACGCAAACTGAATCTGTTGCAAATAAAAAACGTGATCATCGGAGAGTTTTGGATGAAGCCGCTCAACTTTGGGTCATTTTGGAATAAATCCTAATACTTCATTACGCAAAATTGTTGATGCGACTGGTATTTCATTAGGCTCTGTACACACAGTTACTAAGCTCCATAAATTTAATCCACTCCAAATGAAAATATTGCAAGAGTTAATCGAAGATGATTTGGATAGGCGAGTTGAGTTTTGTGAACAAATGACTGCAGCGACTGATGATAATACCATTCATATAAAGAATGTCTGCTTCAGTGATGAATCCACATTTTATCTAAATGGCCATTGTTTGTTAATGGAAATTTGAATGGAGACATTTATTTGGATATGTTGGAAAATACCATCAGTCCACTTATCACTGAAACCATTAAAAACCAAATAGAAGAGAATGGAAACCCTATACTTGATGAGGCTGAAATGTATTTCCAGCAATACGGCGCTCCTTCTCAGTATGTTACTCCGGTTCGGCAATGGCTAGACGACGAGTTTCCAGATAAGTTTCCGAAGAGGGCCAATGGTATAGCCTGTTAGATCTCCTAATTTGAAGCCATTAGAGTGTTCTCTATGGGGCCATTTAAAATCTATTGTGCATACTCCCCAACCTGAAAGTTTAGGTGAACTTCGTAAACGCATCATCCATGAGATCGCAAAACATGTTTTTGAAAAGGTCCGTCAGGAATTTTAACATCGCCTCTATCATTGTTTGGCCAATAAAGGGCAACATTTGGACACTTATTGAAATAAAAAGTGTTATTTTCGTGAGCTTTTGTTTTCTATTTGAACAAATAAAGATAAATAAAGATTTTCCTAACTTTCTTAAAAACGAATTGACCGATTTTAAAAAATGAAACGTCTAAATTAAATAAAGAATTTCGAAAGACCTTTCAAGCAAGCTATCACTCGATACCCCTTTTCGTATAAAATGTTTAAGGGGATGACTCTGCAGGGGCAGAGCGTGTAATCTTTTGACGTGTCTTGGCGTTTTTTCTTTTAATCAGTGGTTTTCGATAAATCCGTGGTGGAGAGTTGTCAAATGAATACCCTGTATAGAGACACCGACAGCCATATATAAAATGTACACTATACAGAGTTTTTTAATATCCAATCTATTTGTTTTTTGAACGGGCCAAGTCATCATGTTAAAGTTGTCCATATTCGGAAGGGTGTAACTGGTACCTAAATCTAAATACTATATTATAGTGAAAAATTGGTCACTGAAAATTCAAGAGACTTTTTAAATGAAACGTGTTGGTCATGCAAAACATCATCTTGAAAGTCCTTACAACTCTAGAATACCCAGTTCACAATCTTCAAAATGGCAGACTCGTCGTCGTGAGCTCTTTTATAGTTTGACTTTCAGAAGCACAGCCTCCTCATTTTGAAACCGTGTATCCAAACATGCTATTAAATATTTCACTTAAAACATTTGGCAGAATGTATCGTTTTTTAAAGGTTTGTCTCATATTTTATTGCACATTCGAGTAAGTATTTCCAAATTAAGAATTAGTAATTATTAAAACAAAAACAAATCTCACCTCACTTCAGTTCACTCAGTTTATTACGCCTCCTTTATACTAAGTCTTAGTTTAAATGTAATGAGTCGCTCAAGTTAAAATACTAAATGTCTGTTGTCAATCTCAATTGAAAAGAGGCGCTTAAAAAAAGGGGTATCGATAGAAAATAAATTCTAGGTTACCGCTAATGCTATAAAGGAGTTGAAGACATCTTGTTGATGTTTGAGGGCTAGAGAGAGAAAAGAAGATCTCGCGATCCTCAAGGAGCAATGACGCGGCCGCACTGGCCAGTTGTCGATGTACGATGCATGAGGAGCAGAATCCTAGCAGGTCTAATACATTTGCAAGCATCTGGATTCCTTCAACACATCATTTGATGAATCTAATGCCTATCTCGCGCCCTTGTGAACATAAACGAGTCCGTATGGAGATATATGTTCCGGTCACTAATTAAGCTGTCCTATCCAGTCAAAGGTATTAACAGCGGGAATTGACAATGTAAGCAATTAAGATTTAATCACTGCTGATTGGCAATTTAATCCCGTGCTTGCTAAGTGGTGGTAAATAGGCATTATCTGTATATTTCTGACGGTCAGTTTATAACTTCATCTTCATTCACAAAATATCTAGCCAAAAAAGCTAAAAAGAACAAAGTATCACATATTTCTAATAAAATAGCGTTTCACGTCCACCCTCCAGACAAAAAAGCCCCTCAAGCAAGAATTTCTTGATGGATGTTTTTTTACACCGCGCAAGCAGAAGCTTAAATGCCGAGACACAGCGGCTGCTAGGAGAATCCCAAAGAAATATTTGTTAATCCGATTTTTGAACTGTCTAAGGGTAGTAGAACTGGGAAAAGCTTCCTCTTGTAGATTCTTCCACAATCTCGACACCCTCGCGACAAAGGAGCGGTGGTATCGGCCAGTTCTGGAAGTTCGACACGGTTAGGATGGGAGGCCAAAGTCAGGCGGGTCCGTCTGGCAGGCACATCGCGCGGCAGTATAATGGAAAAGAGCTCTGAGGAGCAAAGCCCGGTGGTATAGTGGTAGAAGAGAGCTAGATTGCCGAGGGCCCGCCGGTGCGAAAGGGTCCCGAGACTATCTGTTAGAGGAGAGTCATCGATCAATCGGACAGCCCTCATCTGGACAGCATCGAGTATGACTAATGTAGTCGGGGCTGCAGCACCCCAAACGTGTATGCAATACTCGAGGCCAGGCCTTATCTAGATACAGAATTAAGACAGGACTTTACCTAAGCATTTGAAGCCTCAAGCTTTCGAAGAGCCACCGCGCTTTATCATTATTTTTAAATGAATTTTCTACCTCTAAGCTTTTGAAACGGCTTACAGTAAACCTCTATATATATATATATATATATATATAATACTGCTTTAATGATTTCGAGTATTGGCATATAGGAGTATTTCAGATGAAATTGAAAAACATAAACGTATATCCATCGGTTAAAAGCTACTTGAACTATAATGGAATAGACTAAAATATATAAATACAAATATTTCCTGTTGTATTTTATGAATTTGTTGCTATGAATATTGATTTTATATCGTCCAGCATACTGTAGCGCAATATTCAAGTGTACCAACAATTATTACATATATATCCAGTATCATTTAGGTAAATCAAATATCGCAGTAATTAACAGACAGCACTATTTTCCATAATGAACAACTTTGTGTTGCACTGAAATGAATATTCAATAATTTTAAAAATGATATGTT